GAGATCCGCTCGTGGTGTGCAGGTGCGAGGTGGGTTGGATCATGAGAGGTGGTGTGGCTTGAGAAGGTTTTCATTCAGCTGTGGATTGGCCATGGCTGATGGGCTGAGTAAGCTTATAGGAACATGGAAAGAGAGACAACGACGACAGGGAATTCCATCGTGGAACAGTGCGATGGAAGAAGCATAAAGAGAAGTGCTGCGACCTGCAGAGTGGTGAGTGGATGTCTGAGTGGGTGAGTGAGTGGTTGGACGAGTAGTTGGGTTAGTTGTATTTGGGAGTAACTGTCAGCAGTAGCAAAACACGCGTGCCAACAAGGACACTCAATTGATTTTGATAATGTTGAGGTTATGTGCAAAACTAGCTACTCCTGTACTCTTTGGTTCTTTCGGTAAAGTCACGTAGGTATCAAATAAAATAAAGCAAATCACGACGTTTCGGGCGCAACACAAGCGTCCATCATCAGGTGGGAAAGCATGGCCTGCTGCTGAGGCAGACTGGCCAAAACTTATTAGAGAATTTATCAAAATTTAAATAAAAAGACTTTAACCGTTCGGATAGCTACCACCTTAGTGCTGCGTGGAAGCGAATAATCAAATGATACATTATTTAAATGCATGCCTATGAAGAGCACCATACTTCAATAGGGATTACCGTTGGTATGGCTATTTTAATACACACAATAGGACAAGATCAAAGGACTCGTATAATGCGCATGCATAATGTACGTTGACTCATGAATTCCCCCCCCCCCCCCCACTTTGTGCAAGAGCGCAGAAGTGTGGCCACCACATCTACGCCTCTATATACGGAAGGAAACAGGTGGACTTCTCCACAAATCTGTCTGTCGCCTGATGAAGATAGTTCTAATTACTGGCGAAATGTCATACTCAGATTGTAAATGTTGTGGCTTGGCTCTTCAACACACCGGTGTGCTGTACTAGTGACGAATTGGCATATTCTGTTTACGTGACAACCCTTACTAGTTGGCTGTGTCGGGTGGTGGCAGGTTTCAACAACACATTTAGATTTTTACGCGATTTACCCCCAAAAAACGATTATGGATGATATTGGTCGCGAAAGCCTACGTGTTAAACTACATACTGAAGGCAAAGGCGAACGCGGGCCCATATCCTTGACACCACGACCTACTGTGGAGCTGATCTGTCAATTGACTATCAGCTTTTCATCTGTAAGACGCTCAGTGGGGAGTACCAGTGGTTGTGCGCTTTAACCAATGTGAATTTGTCTAAATTCCAGCTCTGAGAACTAAAATTTCGATTTGACTGTCATGCAACGGACATCACTCTCATGTGCAGAGCGAGTCGGGGAAGTGCTGCCCTCGACTGTGTGTGCACCAGAGGGAACTTGAATGGACCTCAGCGGTATCTCTGTGGTATCCACTTGCATGCACCGTTCTCCAACAGCAAGGGTTCCAAATAGATGATTTAACACATCACGTGACACATATTACAACTATCACGATAACATTTGGAGAAAATTACAAAAAAATCCAAATAAGCAACACCGGGGCTGATAAGAGCCGAATGGCTCAAAGGGCTATACCAAATAAATGAATTATGAACAGGGTGATGGATCTGATACACCAATCTTCTGTCTATTTATAACAATAAGTGTTTAGCATCATCTTAAATGCCTCAGAAACTCATGACCCTGGCACACAATGGCCTCTCGTTTTGAATGACACCACCCGGCACAGAGCGTCCACTGTAAAGTAGACGGTGTGCAGTGTTTAAGTGTTACTACTCCGAGGGATGATTCCAATATTTTGGAGTCTATTACAGAATCGGTTGTTACCTTAGGATTTGATGGCAACGATGCTTATGTCGATTCCGATTCCAAACTTTTCAACCCTTCCCCCCCTAACAAGCCCAAAACGCAGTTCCTATTTTTTGTAGAGTGTTTAGCCCAGTGAGGTCTCACCCCCTAGCTTCATTTAGAAATTGATCCCCGTGTTGTGTGCTGCGGTTAAATAAAGGACGCTTTATTGCAAAAGGGAATTGCTTGATGTTACCCATATCCATTTGCATGTGAACTCGCCTGATGTTTGATATGAACAGAGATTGTTCCTTCACAATTGATGAAGATGCAGGACTTGGCTTAATGTGGTCCATTATTATGAACATTGGATGAAATATGACTTAATTCAAGAACTGATTAATCAATTCCTTCACTCATGATGCACACTTAGATGTCGTGCGTGTAACGAATCTATTGTCGCGGGTGATAAAATGAGAACCTCTTCGCGGGGAAGTCAACAGTGGTTGTCCTTTTGTAATGATAGTAGAGTCTACCTGTGGTGCGAAGGGACTAGTGGCCACGGGAGGTAATGACAGAGGTGTCAGGTGTGAGTACGAAGGGACTGGTGGCTACGGGAATGATTGAGAAGGGGAGCGTGGTCAGGTGACGGAAGAGCACAGTTGAGTCTGCTGGTGGAGCGAGCGTCCAGAGTCAGCGAGAAGGTTCGGCAAGGGGGGCATGGCCTCGGTCTGTATATAAGGGAGATGGGCTGGAGACTCGGGGCTGTTGCAGTGGGGTCTCCGCCTGTTCAAGTGAATGTCTTCAATAAAGAAACCATCTGAAGAAAAGTGTGTCAAGTCGTCTTTAAACTTTGGAGAGACTCGCCCACGTTATATAAACGTGGAATTTCCATCACTCGCTCAGGGATTTACACATGAGATGGGCAGGAGATCACTTTGACTCGCACTGCAACGTATTTCCTTTGAACAACAAATGGTGGCGGTACGTACTGTCGCTACTGCCACATTTACGTCTCGCCTGTTCTGACATCCGCACGACAAAGTCTACACACAGTGAAAAAACATCAGCCATTCCCAATCCACTGCTGGATGACAGCCTTCCCACGGCCGTGTCGACACGGGGGTGTTTATGACCATGCTTAACACCTGCTTTGTTGCCAGAAAAAAAGGGGAAAACCTATTCTTATATTTTGACACTGGCAAAGGAGGTCCCATGATGTAGCTGCTCACCCCGAGCCCTCATTGTCCTGATAATGCATTGTCTTTGTGCTGTTTGCCTTTTGGCGTCCTCTGTTTGAGATTAGGCTCTAAAGAAAGATGTCTCTGGTGTGGACCAATCAGTTTCAAAGACAATGCAGATACTGTCAGAGCATGTTTTTTTGGTTAATGCAGACATGATTCCTTGCACAAAGGTTTCAGTTTGGTGTTTTAACATCTTTACACCTGTTTTGTTGCCAGAAAAAAGGGGAAACCTATACTTATATTTTGACACTGGCAAAGGAGGTCCCATAAAAAAGGCAACAATTGTTTTTTTTATATAGGGGATGGGTTGGAAGGTTTGGAATCGGAGTCGAAATAAGTATCGTTGACATTGAATCCTAAAACAAAAACCGATTCTGGAATCTACTCCAAATATTTGAGACTGTCGTCGTAGTAACCCAAAAACACTGCACACGTCTACTCGACAGTAGACGCTCCGTGTCGGGTGGTGTCATTCAAAACGAGTAGGCCATTGTGTGCCAGGGTCATGGTCCTAACTTCACATGTTCTAAATATCTCCCGCCAATGACTCATTTGGAATTACACAGAGCAACATCACTCAGTACTGGTAGACTAACGCCCGCTTGCAGGCCAAGTGTGCCGCAAATTGACGCTTGCAACTGGGGGTGCCCTTTGAATGCTTGAGATGAAATGAGGGGTGAAGCACTTCGAGTTGCTGAGGCATTTAAGCGAGTGCCATATGCATGCTAAGCATTACTATTGTTGTTGTTAAACATAGACCGGAGTGTGATGCATCAGATGCACCACCCTGCCGTCAGCCCCGGCGCCCTGGCGCTGCTTTTTTAATTTTGAGTAATTTCCCTAAATGTTATTGCGATGGTTGTAATCGGTTTCACGTCATGAGACAAATAACCCATTTGGAACTCTCGCAGAGCAGTGCAACCCTTCGTGTAACAGAATAGCGCAACCCAACGGATACCACAGAGCTAGCTCTTAGATCCATTCAAGTTCCCTCTGCTCCACACACACTACAGAGCAGCACTGTCCCACTCGCTGTGCTTATGAGATTAATGTCCGGTGCATGACAGTAAAATCGATGTTTTACTTCTTCAAGCTTGAATTTAGACAAATTAAATTTGGCGAAGCACACAACCATCTTTGCTCTCCACTGAGCCAAATTGCTGCGGTTTAGTAGCATCTTATAGATGGCAACTTGATAGTTGACAGATCAGTTCCACGCGTGGTCATGGTGTCAAGGACATGGGTCTGCACACTGCCGTCACTATATATTCCAGCAGGTGTTCTTGATTGGAGCTGGCGTGCACTCACGATGTCGTCTCAATGCACCACCACTCAGCAGTCGCTTCTACGAGACCGGTTTCGAGAGTAGCTCGGAGTCCATGGGGCATACATTGGACGAGTGCAGAATGAGAGCAATGGATGAATAAGAGTGAAGTGCTGAATACGGCGGGTGATAATAATGATGAGCGTCTAGCTGTTGATGCTTAAGTGTATACTATGGCCATTTTTTTCATGACAATGAGTCCATAGAATATGTTGCCGTGGTGGAATAGTTAGCACACTGGGCTGGCATGATCTTCTGGCATGGCAGTCGAAATAATTGTTTAGTTTCTTAAATCCTCTCGTCCATGTCAACCAGCATTATCAATCATACGGCACAGTCTGTTGATCGGCAGGTTGCATGACGTGGAGTAAATCATGAGTGTTAACACCACTTCCAGAACTTCTGGTCAGTGAAAAGCAGGAGGCCACGTGGCCTGCAGAGGAGCTCTCTAGAGCTCCCTCCAGTGGAGTCCCTTCATTTATCAGTGGCGTGAGCCAGGCATTTACAGGGCTGCACCTTATTCCTTGACATTTTCATGAAGAGATTGACAACACACCTGCGGCTTTGAGTGCCGCCAGCGCTGAGCACTTAGCTTGAGTTCGGCTTGAGCCACCAGCTGAGACACAGGCCACGCGAACGGGCGCAGGACGACAAGATGGCCGACAGTGATCGCACCTCCATCCACGAGTACATGGCGCGGCAGCCCATCTCCATCGCCAAGGCGACCGCGGGAGCTCTCCTGTCGCGCTTTGACCAGCCGGTGCTCTGCGCCGGTGGCAGAGGCTGAACGGTAGCGTTGGGAACGCGAGTTTGGCTGGCAATCGCTATGATCAAATGTCGATGTTGATCTTTAGCTCAGACGAAGGTTCTTCAACTGGTGGGGTATGGGGGAGCTGTGTTGCAATTGCTGGCTATAGAAGAACAAAGGGTATTTACAGACCCATTGAAGACAAACACATGTTGTAAAGCGAAACAATCCACGCGTATGCACCGTTTTTCCTAACTCTTCTCTCTGTCTCTCCACTGCGCCTGCTCTATTCTGGCGACCGCTAACCCTGCATACGGCTACTCAAACCTAAAAACGTTGGTGGAGCAGAACATGCTTAAACTGCGGATGCGAGTAGAGGCAGCTGTGTCTGTGAAACGCGCCCCGGGAATTTTAAGACTCAGATGAGTGTGTATTACTCAATATTTTTGTCAATTTATTTCGTCCCTATCGGGTATCAAATGTTTCTCTATCCACATCTCACTGTTCGGGGGAGTTTGTTTGCTACCCAATGGGAGACTGGGTTCATGCGGCATCTCCCGATTCTCGACGGGTTCCAAGGCACCTCTTTGTCAGACGCGGGCTTCAACCACACAGCAGTCACACTGCCCTCTCTTTCTGCTCTGAAGTAGGGCAATTGCACGAAAGTTAGCATATCATATCCATTATAAAGCATCTAATTAAATCAACCATCGTAGACACATGATGTTTATAGACCTCGCTGGAGTAACGGTGACAATGTATATTCATTGTAAACACGACATGGAAGACCCGAAGCATCATACACTCGGACTGTTACGGTGAGCGAGTGATGAACGGTGTCGTGTTTTAAATGGAAGTTTCAAACGCAAGAATAAAATATAAATAATATCTGTGTGATATATGTCGCGCGGCCTCTCTAATTGGCGCAAGTCGACCCCAGCCATCTTTCTGTACAACAACCCATGGGACTGCGCCTGTTCACACAGCCTGCGTGTCAGTCGGCGAGTGGCTCAAGCCGAACTCGGGCAACGTCGCCTCGATTGGCAACACCCAATGCCCTCACTCGTTCCGTACTGGGAAGAGAAGGTTACGTTCGCGATGTTGATGATGATGAATAATAATTATATTTAAAATATAATACTCAAGGAATCGTTCAACATTCCAGAATCATCTAAACTCTGGAACTAAACTTTACTAACCCGGGCAGCGGTTAGTAGCTCTGTTGTGATTTCAAATTTGGTGGTCGTTACACTGACATTGGTACCCAGGGTTCTAGGTTCGCCATTACTCTTCTTGCAATGTTTCAGCACTCTCGTCGGTACACAATGGCCAACTCGAGCAATTGACCTGAGTAAATGTTTAACGAAGCTGTACTGCAAACTATGTCATTAAAGAAGAACAGCAACCAATAACAACAAAAACAACAACAACAACTAATAATAACCAACCACCAACCGATCACCTGAACTGGAATCGACAAAGTGTCAGAGCGGGGCGCACCTGCTGATGACTGAAAGTTTCGTGCAGTAGCCGATCGTTAGCGACTTCACTGCACGTGGCCGTGGTCTGTACAAGGTGGTTACTCCCACACACAGCCTCTACACATCCATGCGTCACGCAAGTCGAGAAGAACAGGTTTCAGATTGGCATTGTGCATCCAGCTCTAGAGAGGCACCCGCCAAGAAAACTTCCTCTGGGAATGCTCTTCAGCTGGTTGTCCCACAGACCCAGTTGAGTGAGCTGGGTCAGTTTGTCAAACACTCCAGCGGGTAGAGCCAATAGTGGGTTTTTATTCAAATACAGCTCCTGCAGATTGACCAGGTAGTTAAACACCATCTCGGGAACAACTATCAGACGATTCCCAGACAAATACAAGATGTGGAAATTCATCAGCATGTGCTTGGATTATAGGTGACTACAGCCAGACAGTTATTGTGATACTCTGCGAGCATTTGTTTTCTTACTTATATATGCGAGCCGTTATGAGTAAATTAAGAAAATGCGTAATATAAATAGATTTGTATTCATATGTTGCTATTTTCCTCCAGTTTATTCCAATTGGAATATCAATGCCAGGTCATGATATTAAGGATTAATTGGCAATTCTGAAGCATCCCAACGGGTAGAGCCAACGCTGCTTCCAAAGCAAATATCAACTTGGTACAAATGGAATCAAACGATGGAACATAAACGTTCATTACTCTTTGGTTCTATTCGGTAAAGTCACGTAGGTAAAAAATAAAACAACAAAAAATCACGACATTTCGGCCACAACACAAGTGGCCTTCATCAGGTGAAGGGACAATGCTGTCAAGAAGACAGCGTTGGAATCAAGAAAGTCAAGCCAGGTCGCGTCCTTTAAGCTGTGTGGGAGGAAACCAAACGCTTTGACAAAGGAATTAGCATAAAGTGCTGATCGAACACTTAAAGTGCTGATCGAACACTTAACACGGGGGGGGGGGGGGGGGGGGGGGGGGGGCGGGGGGGGGGGTATGGGTAGGGGAATTTGACAATGCAAGTGTTGTGTTGAAGGGAAATAAGCTGCTGTGAAAGTTTGGAATATCACTACTGGATAAATATACTGTACCATTGAAATTAGTTTAATGTTTGGTATGATTTAGAACATCTTTCCAATGATTGCTTAATTTATAACTATCTTCTCGGTTGAAATTGTGTCTGTGTTTGTAAATCTGAATTGCGTCGTGGAAAATCTCTGATGATAACCTGTGGGTTTGCAAAGGACGTGGGTATCGGAGAACACTATATCGTGATCACCCACAGCGTTGTAACAGTGATCAGCTACGGCAGAAGAATTCGTTCTGCCGTGTTTCAAATCTGATTTGTGCTCGCGAATTTGGTCAGAAACATGTCGCTTCGTCTCCCCGATTTAGCAATCACCGCAGGTACAACTCAATTTGTCACCAGTGATAGCCAATGTTTTCATGGAGAAAATTGAATCGGAAGCCATCCAGACTTCCACCCTCAGACCTTCCCTGTGGAAGAGATATGTGGATGACACTTTCGTCATTTGGCCACATGGCCTCCCAGCTCTGAACCTTTTCCTACACCACATCAATTCCAGACATCCCGCCATCAAATTCACCATGGAAGTGGAGAAAGATGGCAAGCTACCATTCTTAGATGTTCTGTTTGAGAGGAGACCTGATGGCTCATTGGGGCATTCTGTCTACAGGAAATCCACCCACACAGATTCCTACTTGAAACCTGATTCCCACCACCATCCAGCTCAAAATAATTATCTCATCAAAACTTTATACCATAGGGCTCATTGCATTTCGGACCAACACCACCTGACCAGTGAATTAAAACATGTACACCTGGCTCTCAAGAGAAACGGATACTCTGACCGTACCATCCGCCAAGCTGTTTCTCCTACCATACAGAAACAACCACTTGATACTCCGGTCAAAACATCACACTACCATATATAGCAGGCGTTACTAAAAATATTTCCAAAATTCTAAACAAACACAAGATCCATGTCTGGTTCAATACAGTACACAAAATTCGTGATCTGATCCCATCTGTGAAGGATGTCATTCATGACTTACAGTACCCCGGGGTTTACAAATTGAGCTGTACCTGCGGTGATTGCTATATCGGGGAGATGAAGCGACATGTCTCTGACTGAATTCGCGAGCACAAATCAGATTTGAAACACGGCAGAACGAATTATTCTGCCGTAGCTGATCACTGTTACAACGCTGTGGGTGATCACGATATAGTGTTCTCCGAACCCCAGGTCCTTTGCAAACCGACAGGTTATCATCAGAGATTTGTCCACGAGGCAATTCAGATTTACAAACACAGACACAATTTCAACCGAGAAGATGGTTTCAAATTAAGCAATCATTGGAAAGATGTTTTAAATCATACCAAACATTAAACTAATTTCAATGGTACAGTATATTTATCCAGTAGTGATATTCCAAACTTTCACAGCAGCTTATTTCCCTACTCTTTGGTTCTATTGGGTAAAGTCACGTAGGTGAAAATAAAATAACAAAAAATCACGACGTTTCGGCCACAACACAAGCGGCCTTCATCAGGTGAAGGGACGAGACTGTCTGGAGGACAGCGCTGGAGTCTCGTCCCTTCACCTGATGAAGGCCGCTTGTGTTGTGGTCGAAACGTCGTGATTTTTTGTTATTTTATTTTCACCTACGTGACTTTACCCAATAGAACCAAAGAGTATGGATCCTAGCAGTCACGAAAGCTTTAAATCTAGACGCTTATTTCCCTTCAACACAACGCTTGCATTGTCAAATTCCCCTCCCCCCCCCCCCCCCCCCGTGTTAAGTGTTCGATCAGCACTTTAGGTGATCGATCAGCACTTTATGCTAATTCCTTTATCAAAGCGTTTGGTTTCCTCCCACACAGCTTAAAGGACGCGATCTCCCCCTCCACCCCCCCCCCCCCCCGTGTTTAAGTGTTCGATCAGCACTTTAGGTGATCGATCAGCACTTTATGCTAATTCCTTTGTCAAAGCTTTTGGTTTCCTCCCACACAGCTTAAAGGACGCGACCTGGCTTGACTTTCTTGATTCCAACGCTGTCTTCGTGACAGCATGGTCCCTTCACCTGATGAAGGCCACTTGTGTTTTGGCCGAAACGTCGTGATTTTTTGTTGTTTTATTTTTTACCTACGTGACTTTACCGAATAGAACTAAAGAGTATGGATCCTTGCAGTCACGAAAGCTTCAAATCTAGAAATAAACGTTCATTACATGTCACGAGAAATTGGTTTACAGCAATGACTTTTAGTGAGTTGATACTCAGGGTAAGAAAGAAACTCACTTTCGTCCTTAACATTACATTTAGTATGGATGACGAAGTATTACATCTGTAATGAGAGAGCGCCACCTAAGGGACGACGAAGGGCTGCATAGTCACTGCTGGGTTACTCATATCCAATCAGAAGGAAGGGTTCCATCTGGGCCAAAGTTAATGGGCGGAGCTCGTGGGTATGTACGGGAAGCATCGAGAAGGTTC